CTGGCCAGTTACCAGTTTGGATGTGGCTGGTGTCTTCCTTGTAAGGAGACTGGAGCTGCCCATTTTGGACAAGACCCCACAGAAGCAATGCTGTGCCCTCCTCCATGCGGCACATCAGAGATACCTGATGCTTCTGTGTCTCCTTTCTGGTGGTGTTCACATCCTTGCTTAGTGAAGGTGATGCCTTCTTTGTAATTAATGACAATTTCATGGGGAGGTAATGTCCTGTTCCTCATCACACTTTGGCCTTATCTGTTTCTTTCTCTGTATTTGTACAGATTCATGGCTTCCTATTTTAGCCAACGAGTTATCATCTGTTGTAGTCAGGAGTTACAAGGGGAACAATTTAATACAGGACACATAATTTATAAGATTATTTTATAATAGTCACCCAAAGAGTCATATACAAGAGAGAGTGCAGGAAAGCTGTCCGCACACTAGAGTCCAGCTGAGGGCCTGGATCTCAAGGCAGTGTCCTGCATGAGTTCAGCTGGACAGCCCGTAACAGTGCCCATAACAATGCCCTCCACGAGTCCAACCAGAGGCCTAGAGCCCACAACAATGTCTTGTGCAGGTCTCTTCCATGGATCTGTGCTGGGAAGGCCCAAAGGTCACTGGTGGAAGCGAGAAAGTCTGTGCCAGCAGGATGAAGAATCTGTGCCAGCTGCCTGAGGGATCTGCACTGGAGCCATGAGGTGATGCTCAAAGTAAGAACCAGAGCTCCCCAGAAAAGTACCACAGCCATCCTCAGTGACAACGAGGTCCTGTGCTCCTCCAATGATGAGAACAGCCAACTATATCAGGATGACCAGCATGACAAGCTTCTCCAGGACATTGAACAGTGCACCATCTTCCTCTCTGGAGCCAGGAAGCAAGTCTCAAAGTAAGGACCAGAGCTCCCTCAAAGTGAAGCATAGTCATTCTCAGTGACATGGTCTCGAACTCCTTCGACAATGAGAATAGCCGAGTTCCTCAGGAAAGCCAGCATGACAAGCTCCTCCAGGAGAAACAACAGTCCCAGAACCAACAGCTCCCTGACAGCTTCCTTCTTTCTCTCTAGTTCTCCTATTTATGCTGTTGGCAACAATCCTCAGGTGGGCCCTCCACACCCAGCACACCCAGCACGCTGATTCAGTTCAGCTGGGTGTTACAAGTTGGCCACCAGTCGTCCATCCGCCACATCATTGATGCGTATAATTACGCATTTTGATGCTCACACTGTCTTTTCTTTGGCCAGCAGTAGCCCCCTTAAGCTGGCCTTTTGGCCCATTGATCTGTCTTCATTCTTTGAACACTTTACTACTTTCTGACCTAAGGTGAAACTCTAGGCTCATCTTGCGTGTTCCCTTCCCAGCCCCGGAACCAGCCACTTCCGCAAGGTGCTCTGAGTCCTTTGAGTAGGAAGTTGAGATTTGGCCGCCAGCTGTACTCATGGTTGGTGAGCTGTTGTAGTTCCTGGACCCACTTAGGGAAAGAGCCAGGGAATGTATGTATGTATCATGTGTAGACACACATACGTCTATTTCTGTATCTGTATTTTGAAAATCATTTCACACCAGTACCTCCATTTCCTCTCTATGACCACACGTTTGCCCCTTCTTCCTTTAGCAGGGAGGCGGCTGAACCCCATTATCTTGACACTCTGCCCCAGGAGATCTCCTCCCCTCAACCGGAGCACCCTCTGGCTTCTACCAAAACACACAATTTTGAAACTATATATATATGATCCAATTTCTGTTTCTGGGTTTCTAATGGTGATTTGGACCAGAAAGCTGAATCATTAGCTACCTGGGGTGGCTCAAGCTTCAAGGCACTGCCAGAAGGAACCTTTCAGACCCTGTGTGGTGCTCCTTATTTTATGTTCAGGGAAACCAAGTTCTAGCAAGGGACAGGGATTTTCTGAATTTAGATAACCAAGTTGGACCAGGGTAAGGACATGTTCCCTGCCCCTGCCACAACACTGCCTGTTGCTTGTTTTTCCAGTCTAGACCCCATATGCACTCTCCCCTGGTCCAAAGTGTCTTCCTCAGACGTGAGGCTGACGGTGTCCTTCAGCTCTGCTTTCTCAGCCCAGGGGGTCACAAGCTGGGGTCACAAGTCTGATCTACCGACTTGTCTTATTTGTCCTGCGCTATATTGGTCCAAGACTGGAGAATTGGGAGCTTCCATGTCAATTGTAGAAGTTTGGGCTTCACTTGGCCATTCCGAGCCCGCACCTCCACTTGGTTCCTCTGTAGGTGCTCCTCAGCTTACTATGAGACTGCGTCCCAGTAAATCCACTGTATGTCAAAAATACTGTATGTCAAAATGCGTTTACTATAACTTACCAGCCATCATAGCTTAGCCTAGCCTGCCTTAAACATTCTCAGAACACATACATTGGCTGAGAGTTGGGCAAGAGCATCTAACACAGAACCTATTTTATGATGAAGCGTTGACTCTGATGGGGTTTCTGAACTCGGCACATTGGAGCATCAGTCATTTGCTGCCCAGGTCCTGTGACTGGGAGCCTCGGCTTGCTGGCAGTATTCAGCATGAAGAGAAAGAATTGTATTCGGTATCTCTTTCCTGGGAAAAGATCCAGATTCAAAAGTCAGAGTGATTTCTACTGAATGCGTGTATCACTTTTACTCCACGGTCAGGTGTAAAACCATTGTCAAACTATCCTAAGTTAGGGGCTCTCTGTATAGAGCTGGGACTCAGTGATAGGTACCCCCTTTTGTATTTTCTGCTCACCCCCCAGCCCCTAATTTGCTGACCATGGACAGTCCCTGAAGTGTGGTGCCTACTTGGCTCCTGCTGCCGCTGGCGTGGGAATCGCCAGCCACGGCCTGGCCCTCAGGACCCGCTCACTGGAACAGCCACGTCTCCAGCTCCCCGCCTTGTTCCCGTCCCCTCCCCATGTGGAAATAAGTGCAGCACTCAGGCTCTGCTCCACGCTTGGTCTTGACCTTTCCTGCCCCACCTCCCTGGACTAGTTTCTCCTTCCATCCGCTCTCGTCCTCCTCCTGCTCTGCTATTCAGACCAGCTCTTGTAGGAGGCCTCACAGACTGAGCGGAACAGAAGTGCGGAGTCGGAGCCTGGTGCCACAGTGCTGACCACTCCGTTCTCTTTCCATTTGTTTCTTTGTCTCTACTGCTAAACTACAGGTTCGCAGCACCAAAAGTCAATCTTTGTCCCCAGGTGCCTAGTGCCAAAAGAGGGCTGTGCACATAGTAGGTGTTTTGCAAATGTTAGTCAAGTGAGCATTAAAAACGCCAGCAAATACCTCATACTTCCTGGATGCCAGGCACGGTTGTCATTGCTTTACATGAACTCGGGCATTTGACCCTCACTGCTGTGCTGTGGGATATTTACTGTTGCCCCCATTTCACAGACAAAGTAGCTGAGGCACACAGTGGTGAGGTGCCGCACCTAAGCTTGCACAGCAGTGTGCTGGTTGAATTTGGGCAGTCTGACTCCTTAGCCCATGTTGGGACCTGTAAGGGACTTCTCGGGGTTAAAGGATTCCACATTTCCAAGATAAGGGAGATGAGTAGATTTGGAGAGTTGTGTCACACGGATCCCCTCTCTTCCTATCACACCCCTATCCCTGATTTCCAGTGCCTTGTGTTAGGAGCCTAAGCACAGAGCAGACAGCAGAGAAAGTGGTGCCCCTTACAACTGGCAGCCCACAGGAATTTTTCCTCCCCTGAGGTGAGAACACGTTTCCTGTGTAATTAGCACCCAGCGTCAAGTATCAACCCTTATGCAAGATTGCCAGGTCATTGCGCTGGGCTTAGCAGGGTGTATTTTGTTTCCCAATCACCAGAGGAGTCACATGCAAGCTTGTCACCAGCCACTCCACTGAGTCAAACTCCACACAAGAACCTGGGAATGCTCTGTGGACCAAGGTTTGCTGATAAATCTCTGCGGTGTGAGAACTGTCTGCAGCTCACGTTCGAGGGAAGGGAAGGGAGCCAAGTGTGTGGGCGCCTCCCTGCTGAACTCTGCGTCTGATCCTCTGCAGACACATTTCCTCCTCTCAGTAGCCTGGCAGATCCTCGTAGTTGCGGCTCCACTTGTACAGATGGGGAAACTGAGGCTCTGGGAAGTCCTTTGCAGTCTGCAGTCTGATCCCGGGCTTTAAGACCTGAATAGCCAGTGGTAAAATGGGCTCAGAATTAAGTCCATGTGTATGTGATTCCGAAGCCCTGGCTTTTCTCAGGATACTTCTCAGCTGGAGCATGTGGTGGGACCCGCAGGGGAGAAAGGTCGTGGTGTTACGGTGGGGGGAAAACATGGAGTCTGTGCTGTCATAGGCTGACGCCGAGCCTGGGCCCCCAGCTGGATTTTATGCTCACCTCGTGCTGTAAAGTTAAGAGAATCTCCAAGGAGCAGGCAGCAGGAGCTGGTGGGAGGGTGCAGTTGGGGTGGAAACGTGAGGAGGGGCTGCTGCATTGGAGGGAGAAAGGGAAAGGGGGCGGAGAGGTGAGGCAGAGCAGGAGTGCAGCGCCAGCCCATCCTAAACTCCAAAGTCCCGCCCTTTCCCTAGTTCTTTTAGTGTCCACATCCCCCGAGGCACAAGTATTCGGTTCGTCCATCCGGCACTTACTGATCCAGTGTCTATAGCCTGCCAGGCCCATGCTGGGCTTTGAGGACAAAACCTAATAAGATCCCTGCCTGCAGGGAGGATACCTTCTGATAGAGGAACACCTACCAAGAAATGTAAACAGATGAGTGGGCCAGGTCACTTGCAATGACCCTGGGTAATAAGTGTTACACGGAAGATATGATAAAGGGATGCGTGAAGGACAGTGGAGGAGTGGGGGCCACATGAAGCACGCTTTCCTGAGGCCTGAGCCAGCGGGCAGGGCGGGCCTGGAGGAGTGGAAGGATCTCTTTCCAGAAGAACTGAGGCCTGCTGACCCACATGCCATGCAGCCACCTCCCCTCCTGCTGCCGTGAGACTCAGCTGTGCATGTGTCCTCCTCACCCCCTTTCTCTCTCTTCCCCACAGGTTTGACATCTACAGGAAGGTGCCCAAGGACCTAACGCAGCCAACGTACACCGGGGCCATTAGTGAGTAGCTGCCCTCTGACCACTGCTTCCACCCCCCACCCGTGCTCCCGGGTGCCCATCCTGTCTGCATAGAACGTCTAGATCAGGGAAGGAAGAAGGAAAAGCAGAAGGGAACTTCTTGTCAGGTCCTTCACCTATTTCCACATTGAGTTTCTGTGGTAGAAGCATCACTTGTTTCCAAAAGGGTAAAAAGAAATGATCGATACACGTTGAGGATTGCTAATTGGAAAATCTGAAATCCGAGAAGCTCCAAATCCAAAATTTTTATTTTTTATTTATGTATTTATTTATTTATTTGTCTTTTTGAGACAGGGTCTTGCTGTGCACTTCACGCTGGCCTTGAGCTCACTTTGTAGCCCCGGCTGGCCTTGAACTTGCAATGATCCTCCTGCCTCAGCCTCCCAAGTGCTGGAATTACAGGCATGCGCCACACCCAGCCCAAAATTTTTTTCTCAGAATGCTGCAGATTGAATGCAGGGCCTCATGTGGTTCTAGGCAAATGCTCTGCCGCTGAGCTACATTTCCGGCCCCCAAAGCCAAAAAGTTTTGAATGACATTGGATGTGGAAAATTCACACCTAGCCTTGTGACAGGTGGCAGTCAGTACATAGGTGCACTAAAAATATAGTATAAAATTACCTTACCTAAAGCATTAATTATATTTGTGTTTAGTTTTGAGTCCCTTCCCCAAGGCATCTTACTATGTATATGCAGCTATTCCAAAAACTGAAAAAATACAATGTCCAGAATGTTTCCGATCCCAGGCATTCTGGATAAGAGATATTCCATTCCACTGCAGAGCCGCGCTGGGAGAGGAAACTGGGATTGAGAGGTGTGAGGGAGAGTTACTTTTATCTTCATGCCTTTGAAATGATTTGTATGTTTTATATGAGCATATTCTTATCCATTTTTAAAAATCACAGACCCAGATTCTGGTTTCTAGAAATGATTCTTTTGATCCCAGGTTTTGGTTTGTAGAGATGAAAGTAACCAGGGCCCTTGAGAGAAATGACAGACTGCAGCACTGGGCAGGGGAGATACAAAGTGAGCCAGGGCCCTTTGTGTCGGGACTCAGAAGATGACCTGCAGGAGGACTCAGAGACCAAGCTGGAGCGTTATGGAGTTAGTAATGACATTAGTGGTTGAGCTCAAAGACTTAACAAGGCCTGTGACTCTATACTGATATAAATAGGTGAGAAGAGACATATCTTTCTCATAGAAGAATTCCAAATAATGTATGGATACTCACCTACCTAGAAGGTAGGGTTTAATTCTTCTCTCCTTGAGTATGGGCAAAATGTAGCAACTCACTGCCAAAAAATAGAAATTTAAAATAGCAGCTTTGCTGTAAGGAACGCTGGAGATACCCCCTCAGCCAAAAGTGAGGAAGGTCTGTATCACCGGCAGTAAATCCTGTGGATATCACGCACTCCTGATGGGATGAACAGAGGCAACTTGTCCCTGAGGATCTTCCCCAAAAAGCTACAACCTGGCCAGGTCATGAGAAAACATTACAGTCTCAGGTTGGGAGACCTTCTCTGGGATGCCTCCGGGACCTCTTCCAAAGGGATCAGGCCTCAAAAAGCTGAGGGAAAACGGAAATGCTGTCCCAGATTCGAGAAGAAGGGCCCAAGGTGAGTGAGTACAAAGTGGGCCTCTGCCTCAGTACCTGGAACAGAAGCAAAAAGCCTATGTGGGGCTGGGGATGGAGCTCAGCGGCACAGTGCCTGCCTGGCAAGTGCAAGGTCCTGAGTTCAATTCCCCGTACCAAACAAACAAAAACAAAAGCATGTGTGGGAAAACTGCTAGAACCCAAGTAAATATTAGCTGAGTTAATAGTACTGAACCAATGTGAATTTCTTCATTTTGACAGATACACAGCATTGTGTGTGGTAAGTGACAAAGAGAAAGCCAGGTGAAGGCTCTGTGGGAACTCTGTGCTATCTTTGCATCTGTTACTAGTCCACAGTAGAAGTGTATTTAGAAAAAAAAGAAAGAAACGCAGACAAATTAAAGCTGTCCTGTAAATGGGAATGCTTCATTTTTCTGATGAGAAAATGAGCTCAAAGAGGTAAAGTGACTCATCTGAAGTGTTACAGCTTGCAAAAGTTAGAGCCAGGACTAGGACTCAGGTGGGCCTCCTTGGGCAGCCCTGATGTCTCCAGTGGGAGAGGCCTGATGTGGGACAAACCCTCCCCACTGCCTGCAGGTCCTGTCATCCTCAGCTGGGAAGTGGCCCGAGGATGCCCCACCCACGCTAATGGTCCCTCTCCAGCCCTCCCTCCAGCTTGGCTTATTGAGGTTATGCAAGCTTTCTTGAGTTTAGGGCATAGGAATAACACAGCCAAGTGGCAGTCCTAACAGGCAGCACTGGGTTCATCTCCCATTTAGCAGCTATATGAGACCTTGGGCAAGTCACTTCACTTCCCTGAGCCCCAGCTTCCTGATGTGAGGGTTAAATGAGGTCAAGCCTATCCAGAGCAGGGCACACAAGCCCTTGGTGTGTGGACAACTCTCCTTTCTTGTCACTGTTCTTCTAGGAGCCCACAGTCAATCTATGAGGATCTGTGCCTCAAGAAGCCATGTGGCTTTGTCCTCGACCCCTCCCAAGGAGTGGATATTAGGGAGACATGAGAGGACAGGGGTCCACTTAATTCATGAGCTTGTCTAAAAAACTTCCAGTGAAGCTCCCACTTTCTGCTGCCAACCAACCGCTCAGACCACTTCCCTCTTCTCAGTCCTACAGTCTCCCCCTGGTCAGATTTAACAGTCGGATGTGTGTCCTAGAACTTTAAAAAAAAAATTCAGGCTATGAGGTCCGTACATCATGTTTAGACCCCAAGGGAGCACGCTGTGTGCATCTTTCTCCCTCTCCTGGATGCCTTTCCTATCGACCCACCAACCCCTGCACACTCTGCTGTCCAGCTGGGTCCTATTCCGTTACCTGGTCCTATTCTATTACCATGGTTCAAGTAACAGCCCGTGAGGGTAGACATTCACTCTTCTAGCTTGTTCCCATACTACATCCTTGTCCTTATCTCTTTGCATCCTTGTATGGCTATTTGGTAAGGTAGCTTTGCTAGGACAGGAATTACTGGGTCAAAGGGTATGTGCACTGTACCATGCAGAAGACCCTGCCAAATGGCCCTCCAGGGACGTGGTCTGATGTGCATTCCCAGTCCCAGCATGAGATGATGAATTTCCTTACACAAGAGGAAAGGCGTGAGGCTTAGGAAGCTAACCCTTTGCTACCATTTCGTGAACAAATATTTATGAAGCAGGTCCTGGGGCCAGGCCCCATGCCAAAAGCTGAGACCATGTTGATGAATGGACTTCACTCTTTGTCCCTGAGGAGCACACAGCCAAATGTGGCAGGCAGACTCCGTAATGCCATCGCATTACGTTGTGATGAGTGCTATTAATAACCGAAGAAAAGAGCAAGGTTACTGGAGACTTACGGATGAGGATGTGGATTCTGACTCCTCCACTTACATGGCCAGTAACTGTGGACAAATTCCTTGACCTTTTGGCAGAGCGTTGGGTCTCAGATCCCCTGCCTGGCTGCTCCAGGTCTCCTACCAGCAAGCGTCCTTCTGGAGTCACATTCCTCCCATGAAGAGCCTGAGTCACTTTCAGAAGAAGCCTGGACTCAGAGTCTTGCCCAAACATGGATTGAAAACTCTTCATCAAGCCTTCCAGAAGACCTTCTGATGGAAATACTTCCTAGCTCCTTTGTGTTTTTCATTCATTCGACAAGTATTGATTTTGTACCTTCTTTGATCCAGGCACTCTGCCAGACCCCGAGGGAGAACAGGCGCAACAAAGCAAGTGTGATCAGGGCCTTTGGACTTCTTGGGTCTCAGCGAGCAGAGTCAGTGCTTATCATATCCACCTGCTGGGTTGACCAGGCTTTGGCCCAAGCCCTAAAAAAGCATATGGCTTTCACAAAAAGGCCTATCTCCCCACCTCCAGCCTGGACAGAGGGAGAACCTAGGGGCTTATCTGTAGGTATTCCCCCGCCCTGCAGGCGTAGGGCAGGGAAGGCCGCTGGAAGACTTGGGTCAGAACGGACCTTCACAAACACCCTCTACGTTGTACGTGTTCATCGTAATAGCATCTGATGGGGTTTGGAGTGGGGTGATAGAAATGATTCTGCAGTGTGGGTCCTACATGGCACCGGACAGAAAGATGCAAGGTGCCAGATGCAGGATGCTTTGTCCACTTGGTGAGATTCTCTGGGGTGGGGTGGGGTGGTACAGTAACCGCAGTTTTGGATGAGAAGGAAAGACCAGCATCCAGAGAATTTGCATCAGTAGCATAGCTTCTGTAGTGGACTTGTTCAGCAGCTGGAGAAGACATTTGAAATTGATTTCTGTGCCATTAAAAAAACAAACAACAAGAACTTTCAGCTACACATGGCCACTGTATAAACTGATGTGAAGCCCGTGTGGATATAGATTGCTGAGTAAGCAAAGCATGGTTGGAAAATGTGTTCCTATTATGCTGCTGTTTGTTTAGGGAGAAAAGGTATTTTTAAACTAAATATATATTTGTATATAATATATACTTTATAATGTATAACAGTGATTTTTATGTATTGATATTAATATAAATATATACTTTATTTGTACATGTTTTCAATACATTTTTTTTCTTTGGTACCGGGAATTGAACTCACAACCTTGTGCTTGCCAGGCAGGCACTTGTACCACTACTGAGCTATATCCCCAGTCCCCAGTACATATTAAATACATTCATAGTAGGAAATTAGTACATACGTATACACATCGCATATTAATCTTCATATGGTTGTGGGAGGACACACAAAATTGTTGTGGGGATGCAGGTTTTGGACTGAGAGTAACTCACACAGGGTACCTGTATGTATACTATCTTAGTTACTCTTCGCTCATTGCTGAGACAAGGTACCTGACACCTGAAGTTAAAGGGGAAAAGGTTTTTTTAGCTCACAGTTTGTAGATGTTTCAGTCCATCATCAGCTATCTCCAAGGCAGTATGGCATGGCACATAGGAATCACAGAGGAGAAACAGTTTGTTGTTGGCAGAAGGTAGCAAAGCAAGCAAGGAGCTTTAGCAGCCCTTTTCTGCCCCTTTTATATTCTGCCTAGGCAACCAGGATTAGGGTGGTACCAAACCAATCAGTGGATTTAATGATCACATACGCTTCATCCCAGCATCACACACCCTAAATCCAGCCACCTCTGAAAAAGCTGCACCTATTGACTGCATGAGGCCTTGGGGGGACATCTAGACACAAACCATAGCATATGCGTAGAATTTTTTCTCATTGTGCATGTGTTACCGTTTTTTAAGAAAAGTAAAACCTTAAATGCTACCACTGTACTTTTTCAAAGTTAAGTAAACACTGGGAGTATTGTAGTCTCTGAAGGATAACTTGGTGTAATTGACTCGTGGGCAGATTGACAGCATCCCAACTTCCACGTGCAGCCTGTTTCTGGGGACCCTTTCCTCAGTGCGCTGGCTCTCGTACACAGGCACTGCCTCCTGGCTCCCGTGACAGTCAGTCCGTTTCTCTCCCTGAGCTCTTAACAAGGCGAGGGCTCCTGTCAGGACTGGGAGGAGCATCATGTGACAGGCTGTCTGTTAATGCACCCACAACGGGCAAGCAGTGGGTGCCCAGCAAGTGCTTGTTCTCTTCCTTCACTCAGAAGGCATCTCTGGCTCTTTGTTGTTAAGGTAGCTAGGTAGGTAGGTAGGTAGATAAGTAGGAAGGAAGACAGACAGATAGGAAAATAGAAGATAGATAGAAAAAGTAGATAAATAGGAAGATAGATGGGAAGGTAGATAGGTGGATAGATACAGAAAAATACAGATACCTTTTGACTTTTGATAGGGTGATATCCTAATAAACCCATCCTAGGTTGAAAATATGATAAATCAAAAATGCATTGAGCTGGATGTAGTAGCTTGTGGCTATAATCCCAGCAACTCTGGAGGCTGAGACTGGAAGACTGTAAGCTTAAGGCTGGCCTAGGTAAGATAGTGAGGCTCTGTGTCAAAAAAAAGCAGTGGGTTCTCCTGACTCCCAGCCATGGCGGCTTAGCAGCAGCACTCTTTAGGACATGGCTGTTTCTCCTGGTGATTATGGGGCTGACCGCCCCGCCAAAGGTAGGGGAGAGAGTGCTGTGTGTATCTCTAGCCTGGGAAAAGATCAGAATTCAAAGTATTGTTTCTACTGAATGCATACCACTTTCACCCCACTGTAAAATGGAAAACATGTATATACAGACCAATGGCAGCAGACACTCCGCCCAGTGTCAGAAGTGGGGAGACAGGCGGGAACAGTGGGTCTGTGGCAGCCTGCTGATCCCAGATTCCATGTCAGCGGTGGTGAAGCTATAGCATGTGTGCTACACCTGGCTGTTTGTACCATTGAAAGGTCTAGAAGATTTCCCATCACTGCTTTCCATGGGAACAAGGCTGAGTATTCTGCAAAAGTTAGAAATCTGGGCTTTTATATGAAATATCTCAAACATTCAATGTGGCCTCCAGATTTTAAAATACACGTCATGCTGTGCTACAGGTACTGCGTTTCCTTAAAAATAAGACTGGGTTTTATATTAATTTTTGCTCCAAAGGATGCAATAAGGCTTATTTTCAGGGACTGTCTTATTTTCTCATGTACAACAACCTACATTTATCCAGGTACAAAACCTACATTTATTCAAATACAGTCATGTCATCTTCTGGAACACCATCATAATTCAGTATGTCCATCGAGTGTTGCAACAGGCATACTAAATGCATCCCTCAAAAAACAAAAAAGTGTGTCCCTCTGGCTGATGTTCTTAACTGGGGCTTATTTTGAGGGTAGAGCTTATATTACAAGCATCCTAAAAATCATGCTAGGGTTCATTTTCTGGTTAGGTCTTAGTTTCGGGGAAATAGGACATAGTTCAGTGGTAGAGCTTGGTGTGCATGGAGCCCAGGGTTCAATCTGTAGCATAGAAGACAGACAGACAGAATATCACTCAGGCCAAACAGAGCACCTTGGTGGGCCCCAGGATGCACCCTTTCTTTCAGGCTGACCTGCACTAAAGAGCACTGGAGGAGTATAAATGGGCAGGGCCCAGGAGGCTCATCCACATACGGGAGGCCCACTCTGACCCCAGAGTCAGATAGTACCAGACTCCCTTTCTAGGGCTGGAACTGCTTCATACCCAGGCCATGAGTAAGAGGGGGCTTTGGAGGGTCTGTGGGAATATTGCTTGCCCCACCATGCATGCTGGGACCTAGGGGCAGGTTTTCTCCTGAGCTGGCAACCGGAGGGGAGGGCTGGCCTCCCTTTCCTAACTGTCTCATGCTCGTGTTGTTTCTTGCAGTCTCCATCTGCTGCTGCCTCTTCATCCTCTTCCTCTTCCTTTCAGAACTCACTGGATTCATCACGACAGAAGTGTAAGTCCTGCCCTGGTGGGGCATCGTGGGACCCAAATGAGCAGAGGGAGGTGTTTTTAAAAGGGACAGAAACTTTCAAACCTTCTAACTTCCGTTGCGAACACCATGACATCAGTTACTGTCATAGGAAGGGTTTTAAATTTAAACCAAATGTGAATGTCACTTTATCACAGTGGAAGAAAACATTTGGGCTGCAGGGCCATGTGTGAGCAGAAGTCATTCTCCCTTCTCTCTCACCCCTTGTTTGGCCGGTGGGCTTTTTCCCCTCTGAATCAGGTCAGGACATTCCTCGGTGTGGCTTCTGGTAGACAGCTGAGGAGAGTGACAGCAGGCCAGCCACTCCACTAGGCCAGCTTTCATTCCTCAGGCCAGGCTTTCGCGGGAACGGGGTGAGGCAGGGGGCTTCCTGGCAGCAAGTGACAGGACACAGACTTGATCCATCACTCATTCCTGGAACTGCCCACCGTCCTTAGCCTGCTAAACGCTTCGGGGTGTGTAACACACGCTGCCATTGGAATTGTTCCTCCGTTCCTCTCTGAGATGGAGCTTCCTGCCTCGGCCGCTGGCTTCAAAGCCTCTTCATTCCTGCGTTTACAGCCCGCAAAGCCAGGGAGCCGCTGAGCCAGCGCCGGAATTTTCTTCCCCTGCTCACGGAATTTCTTGGTTTCCTTTGCCTCCCTCTCAGCCATAAACACTGGAAGCTACAACGCAGCTGCCTCGGCACGGATGGCCCTCATGCCAGGCCGCTCTTCCCACCTTTCACTCTCAGGTGGTCTGGAAGGAGGCTGAGACTTAGAGAGATGCAGAGATTTGCCCTCAGTCACACGGTTAGGTGGTGGCTCCCAGACCCACTGGCTTCCGAGCCTGAAGCAGTGCTGGTATCGCCTCCTCTGAGCCCCCATCTCTATGTAGCTTCGCCTCTCCCCTGTGTGGGAGACTTTGTTTTCCCTTGCACGTTGTTCCTGTTTTTTAACCTGACAGGAACCAAGTCAGAGGGGCCTCAGAGACTGGTGGGAGAACACTGCAGGTGGCATTGGGAAACCCAGGCCTGCTCACTTGCTGTTTCATTGTTGTGTGACCCTGGGCAAGTTGCTAAACCTCCCTGAGTCTCAGTATTGTTGGCCAAATGAGCAAGAGCAGACCAGAGTCAAGGCCCCCAGCTTTGGAAGATGTTTTGTCTACTTTTCAAGACGTGACCCCTCTGGCCATGCAGGGGTCACAGAAAGAATTTTGTTCCTCGCTGACCCCTCGTAGGGGGTGACCTTGCCCGAGGCAAGCATCTTCCCCTCTGGGCACGTCTGGGCCATGCAGTGTCTCAGGAGTGACTCCATCATGAATCAGAGGTAGGAGCAGAGAGAGAAGCAAGAGCTGGCGACTTGCTATTGAGACTTAGGAAGTCCGTGCTGTGTGCCAGACAGGCCCTCAGCGGCCTCCCCAGGCTACACTGTACTCGTGGGGATGGGGAACGTTTACTGTCCACCCCTGTGGTGTGCTGAGTAAGGTGCGCATACGATAGCAGCAAGGGCCAGGCTCTTAGGCTGGTGGCTTTATGTGTTGAGACAGGAGCACCAACCAGTGCAAAGAGGTCCTGATGCAGGAATTACCCGATGTACGTGAAGAGCAGAAAGAAGGCTGACCTGTTGGGCATGGTGGCACATGCCTGTAATCCCTGCACTTAGGAAGCTGACGCAGGTGGATCACTGCAAGTTCAAGGCCAGCCTGGTCTACATAGTGACCTAGTGAGTTTAAGGACAGCCTGAATTACATAGCAAGACCCTGTCTCAAAAAAAAAAGGAAGGCTGACATGACGGGGGCAAAGTGAGCAAGCAGGGAGGGTGGAAGGTGGTGTAGGTACAACCAAAGCCTGAACACAGCTGAGTGTCAGTGGGACTCTCCCTTGGCTGTGAGGGCACTGGGCCAGGTCTGCATGTTCACTGCCGTGCATACCCACGCTCAGCAGAGCTGAAACGGCAGTGTTGGACAGACAGCCAACAAGCAGACAGAGCTACACTGAGCTTGTCCCGCAGCATTCTTAGGAGACTGATTCCAGGGCCCTCGCAAAATAACAAAATCCTGTAACAAAGTCCATTCTATAAATAACAAAGTCCCTTCTATAAAATGGCCTAGTATTTGCATTTAATTTGTATGCATCCTTCTGTATATTTTGAATCATCTCTAGATGAACTTACAATAACTTATATAATGCAGACGTCATGCAAGTAGCTATTACCATTTTGTGCAAAGAATAATGGCAAGAAAAATATGTGCGTTCAGTTCAGACATTGTGCGTGAGTGCGTGAGACACTGTGTATTGTGTGTGTGTGTGTGTGTGTGTGTGTGTGTGTGTTTGTGTGTGTGTTTGTGGGTGGCTGATGCTGGGGATGGAACCTGGGGCCTTGCACATGCTAGGCAGGTAGTCAGCCACTGAGCTACGCCCCCAGCCTTTCCATGTTTTTAGTCCAAGGTTGGTTGAATCCGTGGGTGTAGAACCCATAAGTATGAAGATGTGATCGTATACTATTGAGTGCTGTGTGATGTGCTCTGAAGAAAAAAGCAAAACAGGAAAGGAGATGTAGAATGAAGAAGCTGCTGTGGGTCTTGCGATATTTTTTGAGAATTAAATAGATTATGTAGCAGAAATGTTTAACCTAGTGCTTGGTGGGCTGTCATAGCCCCCGGCCTGCGATAGCCACTGGCCTGCCTGTGTATTCCCTACCGAGCTCTGAGCAGGCTTGGGGGCCGCGCTGCGGGGGCAGGTAATACACGCACAGTGAATGTTAATCCCCTCATCCCTTCCCCGTCCTTTACGTTTCAGAGCCGGCCTCCTTGGCATCCTGCTAACAACTCAGGATGGAATCAGTCAGCTCAGCTAGTGGTGAGGTTGCAAGGTAGGGCACTGACAAGTGAGTTTTGACGTCAGAGCTGGGGAGGAGAGCAGGTGGGGCCCCACCTGCTGTGTGCCCAGAGTGCTCCCTGCACCCCAAACAAGCATGCCGCCCGCCCCACAGCTCTGCTCAGCTGTTTACCAAGGGCAGGGCACAGTGTGTTCCCGCTGTTGTCCCCTCCCCTGCTCCGGGATTTCCTCTTCCTGCCTGCTGCACTGATCCCACCACATCCTCAGAGAGGAAGAAAGACAAGGGGCAAGAGAAGGCCTAGAAAGAGCAGGGCCCATACGGTGTGTGCCTTGTGTCGGGACGGGGACTGACACACTTCCTATTTTAGTGTCCGTGGCTGGAGCGAGGTGGGAGGCAGGATGAGCGGAGAGTCCTGCTGGGTCCATGGAAGCACAGTGACCCTAATGGCTCTTCCTTCCCCCTTACCTCCTTACCGCAGTTCAGGGGCTGTGCAGAGGGACAGGGACTGAGGACCTAGGCAGCCATCAGAACGGAAAAGGATTGTCCCTTTGGGGTTTTACATTCATGGAAGCCGCCCTGCAGGTTTGGGAAGAACTGAAGGCGACCATTTCTTTTCCTGGGCGGCCGGCCCTCACAAGTCACTGAATGACCACAGTGGGTCAGCGCCCCTCTCTCACCATGAGAGTGTAATCCAAGGAAATGAGGTCACCGTCAGTTGGATCAACATGGTTCCAACCCCGGCCTGTGGTTATCAGTGACATAAGACGCTTATTCTGGCCTGGCCCCATGGGGAGGAAGGCGTGTTTGTTTGGGCGGTTGGGTTCCAACCTGGGCTTTGGACAGACCAGTGATTATCCTTGGGAAAGTGGCCCCACAGGATGTTCTGAGACTGTGTTTTCAGGCAGGCACTCCCCTCCTCTAAGAAGGTGGCCACAGAATGTTCCAGTCTTTGACTGCTTGGTCTCTAGATGACTCTTAATTAATAACCTGATGAGGGTTTATAATAATAAAATGTAGCTACTAGAAGTCTCTCCTGATAATTTATAGCACAAGGTACCTTACAGTACTTTCCGGTTGTGATTTACTGTCCAGGGACCCCATGCTAGGTTAGCATGCCTGAGTTAGGGGCTGAGGGCATAGCTTAGTGCTAGAATGCTTACCTCGAGTACACAAAGCCCTAGGTTCAATCCAGCACTCAAAAGGCAAAACAGAAACGAAAAAATGCCTACGTTAGCACTTTATAATGATTATCTCATTTAATTGTCACAAAACCCCCTAGGGTAGCTACTACTGTTAGCTCTGCTTAAAAGCTGGGGAAAGTGAGGCACCACACAGCTAAAAGCCCATGAGGTCAGTGGGTGGAGGAGCCTGAGCCCAACCCAGGTTTGTTGCCTGCTCAAACCCAACCTCCACTCCCGCCCTCTCATTCTGCCCATCTGCTCTGAGCAGTTTGGAGCCCTGGGCATGTGGGAGTTGGTACTTTTTGGTCAGAATAATTGACTAGAGGACTTAGTTGCATCCTTTGGGAGTGAGGCAGATGGCGTTCCAGGAAGTTGGACCTTGGAAGTTGTCTTGAATTGTGTCCTTACATGTATCTTTCCCGTAGTGGGCCCGAAGCTTAACCAAGGGAGGAGCTGGGTCTCTCTCTGAGCCCAGGTCTCCTGCTGCTCCAAACCTGGACTGTGGGCCAGAGCTGGGCACAGAGCCAGGATGTCACATTAAAGGAACGTTAAAGACCTCACTCTTAGCAGTGCAGGCTTGACAGCTACTGAGCATGGAGTGACATGTGTGCCTCAGAAAGATCACCCCTTTTGAAAGTATGTTTGGGGCAGGATAGCCCAAAGGCCTACGTTCCCAGGGGTCCTGGTGATGACCCCAGGGCAATGAGCTGAGGGTCGTGGGACCAGGCTTTGGAGCAGGGATGGGACAGGACCATTTTGTAGATACCCACCGTGTGGGTAATAGAGGTACTTGCTGTACTTGCTGGAGAGGCAGGATTTTAAGTCCAGGCCCGGAGCACTCCCAGGCATGACTGACAGCCGACCCCTCCCTCTCCCCCCCCAGCCCGCGCTGTGGCCTGGCCGGGGCTGCTGTAATGTAACTTTCCATTCCATCACATCATGAAGCATGGAGGTCAGTAACTTT